TCAGCCAGGAGTTCTGAAGACACAAAATGGGCAAATAAAGGCTGTAAGCCATCAACATTTCTGATTCTTATCCACAGCCAACTAAAAAAGAAAAAGTGAGTGTTTCCTTTTTACCAATATGTAGTTGCTATTACTGGTTTCATTTTTTTATGACTCTTTGAGAAAGTTCAGGTATAATTATTAGCAGGTGTTATTTCTCTTATAGAGTACAACAACAAGAAATGGGGCCTAAACATCAGCTGTTTTTCGTTTAAAAAACATAATTAGGGTTCCACATAAAAATAGTTCTATTTTATTGACTATTTATACTTCTAGAAATAGGATAAAGACAAGAACAAACAAAGGAAGAATATAAACATTGATTTTATCTTACATAGATTTCCACACAGTCTATAAGTAAATTAGTACAAACATTAATGTCTGGTAAAAATGCTTGAATCTGGCTGTTTATTTTGGATAATGTTAAATTACAGATAAGATAGTGTTATATTGTCTTTTATAATTGTTAAAAATTATTTTATATTTGAATACACTTCGGCTCATTCTTAGTGTTGTGTTTGTAGATGATGCCAATAAAAAAGAAAATACAGTAAGGAGCTATTTAAAGAGTCAGACAGTAAGCAATATAGGACAATGATAAAAGGTTGTGTTACATTTAATCCTTTACTATTAAAAATGCACTTATACATTATATGATTATAGGAAACACAGATATCCAGTAATAATGATGCAGGGCAGCTTGTAGGTGAAGCAGCTGGCCCTTCAGTGCTTCAGGTGATGTCTAAATAAACCAGGTGAAACTAAAATATTTCCACATGGATGGAGAATATACATTTATATTATGTTTTATAGTCTCCATTCTCCAGTTAATGATTAATCACATACTAAATTAGTTGACGATTATTGAAATAATCAATTAATACGATTATTTTTTTCAGCCCTAGATAAAATAGATGAAATGGGCTATACAGAGTAACTACAGCCCAGATGTTCAACTTTTATAGTGAAGTTAATATTTTAATGAATGTATTATTTTGCTTGATACAGAGAGAGCATAGTAGGAAAAATATAAGAGTGGGGTTTAACTCTGCACTATTGTATATCTTCAAAAGAATATACTTTATTTACCTTCTCTATTAGTCATGCAAATGAAACCATTTACAAAGTGGAAAACAGTCCTAATTCCACATTCATCAGAGCCTGTGATACTTCAAACATTGATAAACAGCATCTAATGAGTGTAGTGCTTATAAAATTTTTATTAATGTAGCAAAATGATGCTTTTCTCTTTTAACAATGAATTCGTCTTATCAGTACGGATGCTCACATCGAGCATAAAAAAGGGCACGCATATTGCAGCACCAATGACACCAGACCAATAGTGTCCCCACCAAAGTTCAAATCAAACCTACGCCCTTGGAGTCGGGCTTGAACACAGAACCTCTGGATTCCACTAGGCCGCCACTCCCCTACAATGGATCTCTGTAGCTTCTCCATAGTAACCATCCTTGTTGACTCTCCGATGACAGTTCGTTTTGCCTGCCCTGTCCGTTTGGAAGTAAGGACATGTCTTGTTACATATGTTTATCCTATTTTCAGGATGATGTATTGAACAGTTGACAGATGTTTAGAGCATTGTTTTAGAACCTAACAATGCTTTTACAGTTTTAGTTTTTTTTCATTGTGGTCTTTGTGATCCTGCTTCTCTAAATAATATCCTTTAAAGAATAATCTTGGACATATATTGAGATGAAATAACAACTGGTTGGATTTTCTATAACTATTTTGAAAATATCAAACTGTAAAAACACGATTAGGGTGAAACTCCGCCCCATTGAAAAATTCTTGTGCGACTGGAGAAGCCCGAAATCATACAGTGTATGCCCGGCTTTAGATAGTAGATAGTAGACCCCACTTTGGGTCCTTGCTCAACCAGTTTGTGGTGTTGAGATACACAGATACAGAAATCAAGCTAAACAACAATTTATGTCATTGTGTCAAGAAATATAATATCATCTCTTAAAATGAAAAAAGCTACTTTTGTTGTTGATGTTGCATGTAATGTTCTTACACCTGCGGTTAATTTTTTTTATTCGACCAATAGTTTGGGTCATGAGTCGACCATATTGTGAGTCTGAAACTGAACAATTCAGTAACCTCTGCTCTAGATTGCCCTTCAGTATGAGTGTGTGAGTGTAGGATTGTACTGAGCTGCCCAGAGACCGCCCTGGACTGCTGATCCGTCCTGCCACCCTGTCTCAATGAATAGATTTAATCAGCATAAACCAGACGATATACACTAGGATGCCTTTCATGTAGTGATTTAAAAAAAAAAATCTTAAATAGCAGGGATCATCACAAGAAAAAACAAAATAAGGTGCAATGATTTTGGTTTTAAAGTGGCAAAATGTGAGAAATATATCAGTGTTTTATCCCAGGACACTCTACTTTGGCAGATTCAAATTCTGCCGTCTTCAGAATCAGTCCTTTCTCATTTTCCAAAACAGAGGATAAAAATAGAAGATGCAGTTGTCTATGAGGCAGGGTTCATCACATTCACTCACAGGTCAAAGGGCAGTGTCACCGCACACCTTCAAAACACCATTTCCTTCAGCTTGTTTCTGGTTATTTCTCAATGGCCAAAGAATTTTGTAAAATCCAGCCTAGTTTATCTGTGTAGTCCATACATACCATGACAGAGAAGACCAGGGCCACGATGTTTACGGGACATGCTGGACAGAAGCACGCCAACATGGTCACAAAAAGGTAGCTCCGGAGGGGAGGTGGAGGTTCCTGCTCCTCTAAATAAAAAAAAGTGCTCCCGCTTAAGGAGCTTTTGGTTTGTGAATCTAGCACACCGACTGCCATTGACGTTCCAAAGAAACACGGTATGAAAACAATTACAACCCAAATAAAACTGATTAAAACAATTCCAAAATGCAGTGAATACAAAAGAAGGAAGCTGGAGGAGCTGAAGTCCAAAGTTTATCCAGAAACTAAAAGAAGTTATTCTTTGGAAGCCATTCCGTTTCACTTCTGTGGGTTCTTGTGTTTGTAGGCAGATGGTAAAAGGAGAGAGGCGAAAGAGGATCTGTGACCCTGCTGGCCTCTGTCCAGCTCTTCATATGTAGGGGGGATCTGGTACCCCACAGAGTGCACTATGAGCTCCACTAACTGGTTTAAAAAATCTTTCATGTTAGGGTAAATTTAAACAGTTTGTTGCCCAAAAAAAAAAAACTCTTTTCTGTATGGATTTATGTGCTTTAATTTTTCACCAAATGCCACCACCTGCAGAGATTTAATTGGTAGAGCTGGATTTTTCTCATTTATATGAAGATCCTCCCAGCAATCATGAGGAGGGGAAAAAAAGAATTGTTGAGCAAAAGTCAAACTTTGCTGTTGTTAACATTGATGTTTTATTTTTTCCTGAAGCTATTAGTCTTATCAATGTCACTACTTTAAAAAAAGAAAAAAGTCCTCTTTGTCAAATGGGGGAGAAACAAAACATCCCACAACATTATAGACCATTCAACCTTACTTTACAGTGACTGAGTTGGATTTTTAATAAATGATCTCTGTCTAAAGTGCCATCCTCTATCTTTAGCAGAGGTCTCAATTTTTATTACTCAAGTAAAGGTATAAATGCTACTGTCGATAGGTGGGGTACACCCTGAACAAGTCGCCAGTCCATCGCAGGGCAACGCAGAGACAAACAACCATTCACACACTCACTTCTAAGGAGAATTTAGAGAAGCTGATTAACCTAAAAATCATGTTTTTGGGTTGTCGGAGGAAGCTGGAGTACCTGGAGAGAACCCACGTATGCATGGGGAGAACATGCAAACTCCATACAGAAAGACCCCAGGCCAGGAATCGAACCCAGACATTCAGGCTGCAAGGCAGCAGTGCTACCCACTACTTCACTGTGCAGCTGGAGTATCCACTCAAGCTTTTTACTCAAGTAGTAAACTAATAGTAACAGTGTCAATTTTAACAGCATTTTTTTTTTAAATACCAACAAACCAATAATAAGAATCTCCTTAAATAAAATAAAAAAACCTAACAAGTTTATTTTTAAAATGTAAGGAGTAAAAAGTAGAGAAAATTGCAAAAAAATAAAATAAAAGAAGTGGGCATTAAAAGGTGTTAAAAAAATCCAGTAAAGTATAGATAAATATACCTATTATCCCATATTATTGGTGGTGGGAGGATGAACTCCTCACAGTTGGAGCTATTTTTGTATTTTTTAAGGGGTCTGACAGAAGATGTGGGTGATTTTTGGGGAGGAAATAACTTCACGAGAGTTCCTCGTGAAGTATTTTCCTGACTTACAAAACTAAAAAAAATCAACCTTAGCTGAAGGGATCTCTTTTCTTTCCTATTTTAAAGGGCGGCTGCAGGAAATGAGCCTCAATGTTATATTCTATTAAAAACAAGTTTTATAAGTTAGTATTTACATTTCTGAAAACACAATTCAGATTGACTTCATTTCTCCCAAATGGATATAAAATGTTTTTTGTAATCCTTATATGGGTTTTCTTTTAAGAGATGTTGGAGAAACATGGCTGTGAGGAGGAAGGATCTCCGGCAGCAGTCTGTTCTACAGCGACTCTAGAGAGGCCTGACTGAAGACTCTGTTTTTTTTACATCAGTCTGATGAAGACATTCACTTTTTTCTATACTTTTCTTCATGGTAATAATTTCTCTTTTTAAAATAATTTCAAGAGCCTCTAGAGTAGTTACAGAACCTTCTATAGAAACTTGTTGTGCATCTTTAACGTTAACTTCTTTTAAAAGTGCAATATAAATTTATCTATTAATTCAAGCGTGAAATGATGCCACAGCAATGAAATATTTATTTTATGTTTTTTTTTTTTTTTTACATTTTCATTGGGACGAATATATTTGGGGCATTTTGAAACTCTTGATGCTCAAATTGATTCCCCATGACCAAATGATCCAAAGCACAGTCATGTTTGATCAAAAATACTATTACAAACTGCTTTAGAATAATTTATTAGGAACTTCAAATTGAAATATTCAGAAAACAAAAATAAAAAAGGAAAGCTTGGCGAGGGACAGTCAGAATCTTTACCCGAGCCCACATGGAGCTCCACTCCAAATATTGGCCTATTTCCATACATCACCAAAACAAAAAGGCATCTGTAAAAGCAACATACAAGGGGGAAAAAACATCTCAAAACAGAAAAATATAGTTCTTTTCTTCCCAGAAAATAAGTCTTAATGCCGCAGAATTTCCCACTTCTTGTCTGCTATTACCAATAATAGTACTATTTTCATTTGTAAGGTAAAAAATAACTTATTGCTTTATTGTACGTTTAAAAAGTTACAGTGTTGGTGTCCAGCAGTAGTTTCTATTTATTTTTTTAAAACCATGTCCCAGCCTGTCTGACAGATGAACTGCTGGCTTCCTGTGGCAGAGAAGAGGCTAAACAGGCAGGCAACTTGTTTTTTGTTTTTGCAAAACTCTTCCTGCTTCTCCTGCCAGCCAGCGGCGTCTCATAGTGAACCCCTGTATCAGAACCGACTGGGAACGTCACCCTGTTTCATTTCTGATTCCCTGCCATGCCTCCGCCTTTCCACCTCCACATGGAGCAGAAACATTAAAATTAATTTGTTGGTTTCAGAGAAGCACATATTTGGGAGAAGGTTGGGCGAGAAATGGAGGCCAACCACAAATGAAACAGGGTGTTCTTTTTTTTTTTTTTTTAGTACCAAAGAAAAAAGGCAATTAAAATGATCCTCCGCTGCCAGAAGTAGTTCCATATTACACTCTGGATGTATGCGCACAAACACGGACTCACACACGCTCAGACGCAGCCACATGCACCTTCGAACAGTGATAAGAGGACAGAACAGGATTGTGATTTTTTTTCTCATCTTTTTTTCACAACGGCGTTCTCTGAGAGTCCTTCATTTGTCTTCACGGTGGACAGCACCGCATAAAAGAATCATTTATTTTAATAAGAGAACAATAAAACAGAAACATTAAGAGAACCGCTCAAAAAAAAAATATATATATATATATATAATATTTTCAAAAAAAAGAGGAAGTCAAGCAATACCCAAATCCCTCATTTCTGGTTTAAGGTTGTTAGAAGAGTCTTGCAGTGAAGACCACAACAACAAAGACGGAGAAAAGGCTTAGACCTTTAGAGACCAAGACCTTATATGGTCTTGGTCTCTAAAGGTCTTGGCCTTGTCTCGGTACTCCTTGGTCTCGGTTGGTGTAGCTGACTTGACTACAACACTAGTCTGTGGTGTTTATCTGAAATGGGCAGCATGAAGATGTAAGAGTTAAAGTAGCATTTTTAAGGAAGTAATAATAAAAAAGGATGACTTTATCAAATGTCCAAATAAGCCTAAAAAGCTCCTTAAATTGTACTAAATAATCTTCCACAGCTTTAAGATAGTTTGTCCTCCATAAGTTGAAGTTGACAACTGATCTATTTTTTTCTCAAATGTGCTACATGAAGATGCAGAAGTCCAGCTGGCAATTCTGAAGGAGTAAAGCAATTAAAAAGGGGATGACTTTTGAGTAAAATGGATAAATATGTCAGCTAGAAAGCAAACGATTCAAACGGATTTTCTCCTTCTTTGTTAGCATTCATCCTTACACCGAGTCCTTCTAGCATTTTGCAGGAGGTATAGCAAAAAAAAAAAAAAAAAAGAAAAAAAGCAAATTGATTGTTATATACAGAGAAAATAGGCCACAGAAGATCCTGGAAATGTATTCATGTTTCATCTTCTCATTTTAAGCTAATTTTTCTTCCATAAGTCCACTTTGTTTAACTTCAGTTGCATGGTCATTCAAGAGTCAAACGCTCACTCTTAAAGTGAAGGAAAAAATAAGATTTGGTCGATTATTGGAGCATATTTCACCTGACAAACTCCTAAAATGCACGTTTCAGCAATGCACGGAAGTGACACAAAAGCGGACTGGCCCACAGTGTGCACATCTAACCATATGCATACTGTTAAAGTAGTGAGATGCTTGGAGACAGTAGCATATGACATCCAGTCAAAAACCAACCAATGAGAATCCCCTCCATCCCACCCCACCTTTATATACAATATCTTACAGGAAGACATAAAAACATTGCTTTAAAACCAATTAAAGAATAAAATACCTTACAGATTATCATTATTATGTCAATATTAATAACAATATTACAAAGGTTTTTTGTTTTTAAAGACTACCAAAATATACATTTTTTCTTCTTCTGTTTTCAGTGACAGTTGCAGCGTAAAAAAGGACTTTTGTTGGGTTTGTTCTTCCTTTGTTAAAAATGCCCCCACCTCACATATTTTGTTTGTTTTTACCACATCAGTAACAGCTTTGAAAGATTTCATGATAAAATAACACATCACATTATAATAAAATCATTTAGAAAAAAAAAAACATTTCAAAACAGTTCGTCCTCTTCCTCCGACGGCTTTTCATACAATTTTCCTGCAGTTTTCTCCTCTCAGCCTCAATAGAGGAAACAAAAGGATGACCGAGGAAGGATGTCGGGGTTGTCGAGGGACTAGTTTGAGGACATGAGTACAAAAGAAAAGAAAAAAAAAAACTAGAAGAACCGGGGACGTTACGTCGAAGTGAGATTAGTACAGAGAAACAAGGGTTCTGGTTTTAAAAAGATCTTCAGTCGGTGGGTGGAGCCACGTGGTGCCAGGAGAGCCCGCGGCCAGCCAATCAGATTGTGCCGTCAAAGGGCAGTCAGCATTCTGATTAGCACAACAGCAGACAGAGGAGGAGCCCTCCGATCCTCTGTGACCTGAGCCTCTTCAGTGGTAGCCATTAGTGAACGCAGTGGCAATCAGAGGACCCTGAGGACACAGTGGCAACAATGAATGCACTCTTTGTGAGTACATATGTGCAGCCTTGCATGTTTCTGAATGACCTACCCCTAGACCATGTCCGAACCCTGTGCTGGGGGCGGGGCTGGCGGCACTGATGTAGGTGCTGACTCCTGAGTCTTGGTTGGCTGCGGCGTACAGGTCAGCCATTGGTCCGGGGCTGCTGGTGCCCAGGAAGCCAGCTGTGCGTGATGGGGTGGAGCCTGAGAGGCAGAGGAGACGAGTCAAGCTTGGACACCAGAGGGCTTCACACACACACACATGCTTCTAAAAATATGCTTTTTATTTGTTCAAGCGAGCCTGTGCAAACATTGCGTACAAATATAAAACACACTGGGAGTCACAGACGTACCTCTGACTACTGCTGCTGCAGCTGCTGCCATTGGACCGTATGCAGTGAGTGGAATGGCTGAGGATTACATAAGAAGCCACGTTAAACGCCTCATTGTGGATCCGCTCTGATATCAGATCATAAAGCAATAATCTACAGCTCAGTGTGGCTGAATCTACATCTGCTCACACATCTGTCACGTCATTTCAATCCAACTGCTAGATGCAGGAGGGCAACATAGAGAAGCATCTGGCTCTGAGTTATCTAGGATAAGAAAAAAACGCTACGAGTCACATGTCGGGCTCAGGAGTTTTGAACCTGAAGTACAGCTGCAAACGACATGCTCGCAGATGTGGGTCATATTTATAAAATAACCCAAACTAACGGTGCCTGCTGCTCTGCTGTACCAGGAGAGGGCATAAAAATAAAAAACTCCCTCTAACTGGCATTTATGTAATAAATTAAATCCTCTTTAGTGTTAGAGAAGCAGTGCTGTTGTATCCCCAGGACTTAAAACTTATGCTGCTCAAGCGCAATCTGTGCCACAGAGGCCGGTCCTGCAGTTACATAATCATATTCAGGTAGCTTTTACTCGTTACTGTCCCTTTAACTCCCCCGGCATAAAATGTTATTCAGCATAATTAATCAGATCATAACCTCTGCTTTAAGGTGCTTTCCATCTAAAACACAGTAGGCAGACACACTGAAAACCCGGTTTGGGCCGCTGTCCCTATTTAATCTACAAATCAACGACTCTGCCTTGAACGGATGACGTGTTGGTGTTAGATTTCCAACATATTTAGACTTTTGCATTACAGTTCATGGTTGTAAAATGGAATTGGGAGGTCTATGAAGACCTTTTCTAAGAAGCTGCACTAACGCTGCAAGACGTTTGTTCTGACAGCTTCTCTGGCATGAAGGATTAAACTGAACAAGAACAGAACCAAATCAGCAACGGAGCTTTTAAGAGTTAGATATACAATATACATTTGTAACATCAGTATGTCCATTAAAATAGCCTAGGGCTATGGATGCAAAGATATACAAATTTTGGATGATATGGATTTTCTGATATTCATATTGTTGTTATGGCCTAAACTGGACATTTACTAATATCATTTTTTTCCATTGTTTCTGACATATATAAATAAACTAAGTGGAATATCAGCCAATACAGATAAATACCAATAAATCGAGCATCTCTACTCAAGAGTTAAGGGTCCTTTTTCTTTCTAGAAATCAATTTCTTTAAAACATAAACCCACAAGCTAAAAGTTTGGTCAAGAGTGTATAGTGTGTTTACATTTTCAGTTTAAACATTCGCTCCTTTTCCACTCATTTTGGATTATTTTAAGAAATACTTCTAACTTATTCAAATTATGAGTCATTTAAGACATTTTTTATTTTAAGTACAAATATTTACAAAACTAAACAGTAAAATGTTCCACGGTAGGCCCCTTCCTCTGCTCCAGGTCGCAGCATCATTAGAGAACTCCATAATGCATCTTTAGCTGCTTTTATATGTATTTTATATAGTGACGGTGTATTAAGCATTAAGACTTTTGGGAAAAAAAAATTCATATTACAAGCAAGATAAAAAATAAATAAACCCTTCTTATGTTATAAATTGTTAGTTGACCACTGACCAAGGCTGCTGCATCAAAGAGCTACAGGGGATTTTGACAAGTGTTGATCTTTGAGCTTCTTCACTATTTTAAGAGCAGTTTTGGGTTTTCACCTTTTCAGATAGAAAAAACAAACTTTGCCACAGTACATTAATTTTTAACCACAGTAAGGTTGTTTCCCGAATCTGTTGAAGGAGCAAAGTGACCCAGATAGCAGAAAAGGCTGAATGTATTTTATTCTTTCCAGATTTTAGCCTCTGCCTGTCATGAAACATTTACGGATTGGAAATGTCCTTTAGGGCAGTCATTCTCTAACTTTTAATAACCACCTGCAAATCTTCCGAGATTTATGTGCTGCATCACAAAAATGGAAATAAATTAAATTATGCATCACATTTTTACTCAAAGGTTAAAAGTTTCAAGTTTTCAGATCAGAAAACATAAATTCCCCCAAAGTAGAGGTTTCATGCCAGGCACTGGCTTAAATTTCAATATGGCTATATAAAGGTTGTGTAATATAAAAATATCTGATTTAAACCTCTCAATATGTTTAACAAACCATTCTATATGGCATGGTATGGTATTTGAAAGTGCAATATACTGAGAAAATAATTTATTAGCATGCTTTCTCAACAAATGCAGGCTGTCAGGGGATGCGCCGAACCCTGCAATGAGGCGTTGGTTCTGGTTCATGTACCACCCTGGTATGCTGCATGTCTCCCTCCTCTGTTTAATCCCAGTTCTTTCTCCCTACACTGAAAAAAATAATGCAACCGGTTTTGGCATTTACTTAATCATATTTAGTTATCTGACACGCTTGTCCTGAGTGGGGTCGCGAGGGGTGCCGGTGCCTCCAGCAGTCAATTGTCACCTAAGGACAATTTAGAGAAGCCAATTAACCTAACAGTCATGTTTTTGGACTGTGGGAGGAAGCCGGAGCACCCGGAGAGAACCCACGCATGCTCAGGGAGAACATGCAAACTCCATGCATAAAGACCCTGGGCCAGGAATCGAACATATTTAGTTACTTTAACACAATTGCTTCATGTTATCAGGGTAGGACATAAAACAGTTGTGTTAAAGTTAGTGTTGCACCGATACTGGTACCAGTATCGGACTGGTCCCCGATCCAGCACTAAAATAGTGGTACCGGTATCGGTGAGTACCAACAAATAGGGCACCGATACCATTTTGAGATCCAACAGTTTATTCAACTATTGTGACCCATTCCAGGTAGGCAATAAAAACTTCTACTGAATTTGTATTAGTCTTATTCCTGCTTCACAAAGGTAGGCAGCAGCTTCAAAAAAAGCCATGATGGCAATTATTTTACATCCAAATAGTATGCAGTTCTTCATATATACACACACACACACACGTCAATTTCAAACAAATGGTATCGGTATTGGCTGATATTGCACAGCCAGGTATCAGGGCCAAAAAATGGCATCGGCGCAACCCTAGTTAAAGTAACTTAGTATGATTAAGTAAATGTCTTAAGTGGTCGCATTATTTTTTTTCAGTGTACTATCAAAGGTAACTAAATAAAGTCCACTGCCTTCAAATAATTAAGAAAACAATGTTAGCTCATGAACCATCATAGCTCTACATGGTTCTTAAAGTTTATGAAACCATGGCTCCATATAGTTATTATTCTAAGCCTTTAAACCCTAAAGAGTCCAAAATTAGTTGTAACAATAGACTTTATTTCTGATTTTTTTTTACTTTTTTTACTTTTAATAAAGTAAAAAAGTATATATATTCTAGCACAGACTTTTCCCTGTTGTTTAAACTGCAAGGAGTTCTGGGTAAACAATGTAAGCTCGGTCCTGTAGCGCTGGCCAACAAAACAATGAGTATCATTAAACCTTTCCAGTTTGAACAAATGAAATTGATGACAGTATAGAAAGCTATGAGGAGGAATAAACGAAGGAAGAGGGGAGAGTTGTACGAAGAAGCTGGTGTTTGTGCTGCTGCTAAGAGATGCTAACCTAGATTCTCCAGTTTCTAACAGGGGCTGTTTATGGTTAGCATTGGAATAAAACTTTTTCTCAGATATATTAAAACAATGTGCTGCAGTGACAAAAATATGCTTCACTTTAAAAAGTCGTTATCTTCCAGTTTGATTTTTATATGAAGTTTAGCTTATGCTAATGGTCTTAGCTCCTGCTAGTACAGTAAACAATAGAATACAAGCTTATTACATTTGTTAGTTTAACAGGTTACATTGTATCGATGGTAAAAACTTTGAGTCAGTGACACAGTGTGGCATTGTCTAAATTTACACCCATCAAATGCAATATGATGAGAAAAAAAACAACTTGGCTGGATGAAAAATATAAAAAAATATATATATATAATATTTGGAGTGATTATTAGATTTTTACGTCTCACAAAAAACTATTTTTAAGTTATGGTTAAAAAAAAAAAAAAGGTAAATCAAGGGCCAGCACCCCCCTCCTTGGAAATCTTATGCAAAACAGTACCTATTGTCACTCATTTGCAATATTCTTCTCTCTCACTGTGCAATAACACGTGCCAACTACTGTGTAAACTGTGTAATTTTCTTACTTATCTCTAAGGTCAGTATATTTCTGCAGTGCAAATGCAATAACCCAAGTCAACTACTTTGTACTCTTCCCTTAGCTCTCTACTGTGCAGATATTTTTATATCTAAGTGAAACATATTCCAAGACATTATAACTTTTTTTTTTTTTTTCTTTTTTTAATGCTTTTTCTTTGGTACTATATACACTTTTTTATATCGTCTGTCGTATTTTTATCTTTAATGGCAGCTTGCTTTAACTCGTTGTACTCTACATAAGCATAATTTCTCTGAAGGAGTAACCCCAATCGATAAATAAACTTGAGTCTAAGTCTAAATCACAACATATTTAGACCCACATGTGCAGCTAGGCAGTGATTTTTTTTGTTGTTGCTTTAAAAGGTAATGTCTAAATCATTTTGTTTTTAAACAGAAATTTTTCTGTACAGATACTGCTCTCCTTCATACACACAACGTGTTATGTTAACTCTTCTGTTAATATAGATAATTAATGAAGATGAATTAAAATACATTTTTCTGAATACCAATAATATCAAAATCTGCTTGATGAGGTCACTATAGGTCAACGTTTTACAAAAATTGGTGATCAGAACCTGTTCAATAATCTCTCATTGGTGCACCTCCATTTATAAGTACTTCATCTCTATTCAAGACCAGAGACTTTAATCTCAAACAGTTCAGTGTGACGTTTTGCTTCTAAATGTTTGTTTTTTTCCGCTCTTTTGGCCTTTAGAAGAGAAAGGAGGCACTGACCTGCCAGCTCAGGGGGGTGGGATGATGTCAGAAGGGGGGTCCGCTCTAAGTGGAATTCTAGAAACAGAGAAGGTCAAGAGAAAAATGAGAGAGCGCTTTAAAAATACAGTCACCATCCACAAGACAAACTACAAAGCCCCAGACACACAAAACGGCAAGATGAAGGGACAAGTATAGCACACAAGTATAGCAAGAACAAAAAAAAAGGAAAAAAATCCTTTAAAGACGGCAGGAAGTCAGGAGCAAAAGGAAGAGGAGGAGCCATACGGTCTAAATGAAAGGGAGTTATATAAGCAGCTTAAATAAACAGAATCATCAAAGAGCAAAGAAGTAAACAAATGTGGAAATTTAAAGGAAAAAAATTAACAACGTTAATGTGGGTTTAAGGGAAAAAAGTGAAGCTTCTGACCAACGGATGGAAAGAGATTTGGTCATGAATGTATGTGGAGAAACAAAATCCAGAGAGCAAAACAAGACCTCTGTACATCAGCGTTTTTATCGTATGCGTTTAGACGCCTTCCTGTTCGAAGAGTCACAAAGAGCCAGGCATGCCAGACATAAAAACAACGTACCTGGAAACTGGTAAGTGTATCCAGGTGCTAATCCAGAGTAACTGCGGCTGGTGTAGGTAGTAGTCTGGAAACCTGGATAGCCTGTAAAAAACAGAGGCGATGATCAGTCTCTCATGTAAAAAGATTCACTTTTAATGCAGAAAATGAGCTAGGCACAAAGTATGTTTTATTCAGTTGCAACAATCTATTAACTGCTGATCCAAACAACAGATGCATTTTACAGATAAGTCACTTTTTCTATTATGACCAATACTTTAAAATAATTTGAATCTATAGTGAAACACAAGGTCGGTTATAAAGACGCAGTAATAACAAAAAGCTTTGTGTATAATTTAAATACCAATGCTATTATAGGAAGAATTAGAGTTAAATTATAACTGAAGAAACACAAATGGCCAGTAGGGGGAGCAATAAAACCACACAGGAAGAAGCTCTTGCTTTTCTCAATGAAAATATCTTCAAACTATTTTCCTCCAATAAAAAACCTTCCTGTCTATGACATTATGTTCAGCGCACATCATAGATGAGACACAAATCACAGCAAAAGCGAAGTAGTTGATTCAAGACAAACTGGATTTTATTATTTTATTTTATTTTTTCAGTCTATTTAAAGAGAGACTGCTCTACAAATACAAATTCTGGATGGTACTTGTTTAGATCAAAATGAATTATCTTTCCATCTTATCTTAATGTTCTTTGAAATGGAATATATGAGATTCAACAGGTGTAAATGTACCTTGTTCTTTAATCAGTCCTTTAAAGACATTATTGCAATTAATAATTAAAGTGTGTCTAATTAAAGGCCTTATAATATCAGGCCTCTTCTTGTGAAGTGAAAGATCATTATGATCTCTAGATATAGTTCTCTGGTTTTGGTCTAAAACAATATTTTTGTATGTTCAAGAATTTTATTCTGAAGTAAGAAAGGAAATGGCTGTTGAGTTATCCTGAAATGTTGAAATAGTTCAAAATGATAACTTTAAAAAAAAAGACTGTCACTACCTGACCTGTGCTTATCTGAACCATCAGCTCAATAATGCAACCAAAAAATACACTTGGGTCGCCATCAACTGAGCTTAATGATGATAACGTCAAACATGACAACATAACATCAAGAAGGTAAATGCTTCAATTTTCTTAGCAAAGTTATTAGTAATAATTTATACTATTTAGTATACTTTAATCCTTTAAGGATATAAATAAGTACTGTTGTTTACGTAGTGACATTATTTAATGGCGACCTGTTGTACATGCTTATATGAGCTAAAGGTACAGATTGTGTTTCCAGCACAGATCAGTAGTGATACAGACATTCTGATGCGAATGCTAAAGAATAGGGGTGCCTCGATACAACTATTTAATTTCCGGCATGATACCATTATTACAACTTTAAGGACTGGCTGATGCAGATAATGCCCCGATACAATATCAACATGAATCAAACATGCTCTTATGATTTATTTGATACTGTTGGGTTTTAAAAAATGTTTGATCGAGTGATGTTAGTAAAACTGAGAACTAAAATCAACAATAATAGGTGTGAGAAAAACTGACCCATGTAATATTAACCGAGGTTTTTATTAGTTTTTAGTTAATATCGAACAGATATCAGATATTATATTCGGATCAGGACATCCCTACTAAAAATGCTCCATCACTTCGAATGTCTTTGTTTGAAAATTTGAGTGTAAAAGAGCTTTTATTGTGCATTGGATCGTCTCTACTTAAAATATAATACAGAACAACTGGCGCAATGAGAAAGCACTGTGTACAGTTTCTAAAGAGCCTTGGTAGGATTTAATATCTCAATTTATTAATCCACAAATAAGATACAGAGATCCTAAACATTTGCTTAGGAACTTCTAATGTCCCCTAATATTAAAGTCCTTCCTGAATCTGAAATGATTTGATCATATCAATTCAGACATTTTTAAACAATTGCCTAAAACAATTGTTTTAAACATTAATGGAATATTAGCTAACAGTCACTGCTGATCCTAAAGTTAGCATGCTTCCCAACATCTTTAAAATATTGTTTTTCAGTGTTTTTTTTGTCCATTTTTTATATTGGGGGCACAAGCAAAGCGAAACAAAAATATTAACATACGAAACAAAAGTGGAGTGAAACTTTTAAACTTTTGACAAATGAAAAAACATTTTTAGTACTCAGTTTGTTGAAAAAAGTTTGAAGTTTGAAAACATAAATGGTTAATTTTCACATTTCAAAATATTGCAAAAAAATGAATCTAATGTAATGTGTGTCTAGGTAAACCATCCATGTTCTGATATACAATGAAAAAAATGCAGATGACAGGAACAGTTTTCCAAGATTTTTTTTTTATTTTTTTTTACCAGTTTAAAAAAGCATATTTAAAAGCTAATTTCTACCAAAAACTAGCCATTTCAAAGATCCTTTTCAAAAACAGATTGTTTTCTTCATAATTAGTAAAGGGCCTTACCTAACATGCCAATGCCCAACATGAATGTATCCATCCCATAAGGCATCACTCTGGAGCGTCCCCTAGCAGAGCCTGTTGGTGTCATCACTTCTTTGGGCTGGGCTTTCTTACACTCCACCTAAACAAAAATAAAAAATATTAAAGTATACCAAAGATGTAAGAAGCTACTGGTTCAAAGTTAAATTTGACACCATACTACAAATGAAAGCCTTTTTTAGAAGTCCTAGAGTGAGCCTCTCCCACCTCTTTTTACTCACTACTGGTCAGTAGGCTTAAAGAGTGCCACCATGACTTTCCATTCAGTTAAAACAGTGATAGATTAGCTGTTTGGAAGTGTTTGTAGTATATATATATATATATATATATATATATATATATATATATATATATATATATATATATATATATATATATATATATATATATATATATATATATATATATATATATATATATATATATACTTTTTCCACAAACACAATATAATAATTTTAACTTCTCATTTGCAGAGATAATCCATCCCACCTCACAGGTTGTGCCATATCAAGATGCTGATTAAAACCTTTATTAGTGCACAGGTGTGCCTTAGACTGCCCACAATAAAAGGCCACTCTGAAAGGTACAGTTTTGTTTTATTGGGGTCTGGGGACTCAGAAAATCAGTCAGTATCTGGTGTGACGACCAATTGCTACATGCAATGCGACACATCTCCTTTGCATAGAGTTGATCAGGTCTTCAGTTGTGGCCTGTGAAATGTTGATCCCTTCCTTCAATGACTGTGCAAAGTTGCTGGATCTTGTCAGGAACTGGTACATGCTGTCGTATATGCTGATCCAGCGCATCCCAAACATGTATAATGAATGACATGTCCGGTGAGTACGCCAACCATGCAAGAACTGGGAAGTTTTCAGCTTCCAACAATTGTGTACAGATTCTTGTAACATGGAGCCGTGCATTATCCTACTGCAACATGAGGTGATATTCTTGGATGTATGGCACAATAATGGGCCTCAGGATCTCGTCACAGTATATCTGTCCATTCAAAATTCATTCAATAAAATGCACCTGTGTTCTTCGTCCATAACAGACGCCTGCCCATACCATAACCCCACCGCCACCTTGGGCAACTTGATCTATAACATCGACATCAAAAAACTGCTCACACACACATTGCCACACTAACTGTCTGCCATCTGCCCTGAACAATGTAAATAGGGATTAGTCCATGAAGAGAACACCTCTCCAAGAGCCAGACACAGCGAAGTTAGAGAGACTCAAGTCAGTTACGCAACAAACTGGAGTCAGGTGGAGACCCGATGAGGGCGACGAGAATGCAGATGAGCTTCCTTGAGATGGTTTCTGACAGTTTATGCAGAAATTACCAATTGTTTCAACAGCTGTCTGAAGCGCTGGTTTGAGATGATCTTAGAGGTGAACATGCTGGATGTGGAGGACCTGGCTGGTGTGGTTACATGTGGTCTATGGTTGTGAGTTTGGTTGGATTTAATGCCAAATTCTCTGAAACGCCTTTGGAGACGGCTAATGGTAGAGACATGTTCATTCAATACACGAGCAACAGCTCTGGTTGACATTCCTGCTGTCAGCATGCCAATTGCACGCTCCCTTAAATCATGCCACCTCTGTGGCATTGTGCTGTGTGATAAAACTGCACCTTTCAGAGTGGCCTTTTATTGTGGGCAGTCTAACGCACACCTGTGCACTAATCATTGTGTCTTATCAGCATCTTTATATGTTTTGTGAACAATATTTGAGGGAAATATTTATATTGTGTTATATTGTGTATGTGGAAAGAGTTTTAGATCTTTGAGTTCATCAAAAATGGGAGCAAAACCAAAAGTGTTTACATTTTTGTTGAGAGTATTTTCATTGTGCAAACCCTTCTAAATGCATACCATTTTGTTGTTGATCTCATGGAAATGGATCTCACAAACTTTCTCGACCACGTCTTCATTCTCAAAAGTGACAAAGCCAAAACCTAAGAGAGACAAACAGAAGACAAAATAGAGAAGAAAATATTAGGCTGCTGCTCTTCTAACAAAACAAAACATTCAAATCAACATTTTGCTGTGCATTCATCATCATAACACAAAGCCCAGAGAGAGGAGGTGACCCTTGCATGTCATGGTTGTCAATCAGAAATAAGCATAATAGAGGAGAGGAAAGAGTGGGTGTGGCTCCTAAAAACTGATCCCAGATGATCATCGGTTTCTCTGCTCCTCTTTTTTTCTCTTATCCCCCCTCCACTTCCCTCCCTCCATCTTCATCTCCTCGCTTGTCTCGTTAAGTTACATCATTCCCCATAGCCATCTTGACTCTGTATGGCGACCCTCTGCGGGCCCTGCCCTCACCCACAGAGCGGACAGAGATAAATGGAGCAGGAGGGAGTGGAGGAAAGGCAAAATGATGTGATTGGAGGGAAAATGCTGCCTGTTTTGCAGCGGTTCACCTAATGACTCTATCACGCTGCTTCTCCTTTTTATTTCCAGGGACCCATTTCTTCATGTCAACATATATTTACATAGAGGGAATGTTTGTGTGCGCCTTTACCTCTATGTCTGTTGGTCGTTTTGTCGAACATTAGCATGGCATCGTCAACCTGAGGGAACAAAGCAGAGGAGACATGAGCTTGGACATATTAAAACTCACACATCATTACCCAGCATGGGGTGCCATTGTCCCTCTTTAGCATTAGAGTAAGAAGGGAAAACAGATGGAGAGGGTGGACAGGGACAAAGGACGGGCGGGGGCTGACAGGTGACAAAGGAGGCGGCTGTAAGGGTGGAAACAAGGGAGAAATACTGCAAAAAAAAAACTATTTATGGGAGTTAGGAAGAGTGAAGGAAACTCTTTCCTATTCTTCCCCTTTTTCACTCTACTTCACTTAAACTGTCCAGCTCGCTGTCTCTGCTCGTTTTTTTATTCTCTTTCGTTTATTAGTCCACTGTCTTTCTTTCCTTCCCCTGCAAAGTTTACTATTCCCATGGATACTCTGTAAAGAATTTCAATTAGAAGAACCAGCACCCCCCACCATACCTCCCCTCTAGCACACAACTCATTTTCTTGAATAGGATGGAGAGCAGAGGGGGTAGAAAAACATGAGTGAGAGAATGCAAAGGAAGAAGGAAAATAAAGAGATGTTTCTGAAGAAAAACAAAAAAAAAAAATCAGTAGAGGATCAAGTTGGGATGATGGGTGGAAATTCGGTTAGGGAAGATTGTGAATTTTAAAGTGAAAACAAAGTGATTCAGGGTCTTTGTCAGCCTGCTCCTCTTGTATTCTCTCTCCTCTTTCTTTTTTTGCACTCACTCCACTGCCCTATTCATATTCCACCCCCCACCCCCACGCTCTCCTCCTCCCTCCCTTCGCTTGTCCTTCCCTCGGCAGGAAAGTTTTCAGCTTCTGCTTGAGCTCCGGCAGCATAAGGAGGAACAGAGAAGCAACCGAGGAAACCAAACTTTTGAGGCTCTGTGAATCTGCGGCCCGGCCCGGACACGTGCCGACTATGACCACACGGCTATTTCCATTTGTCAACATCAGGTGAAACTCAAACCGGTGTAACATGAGCGGCAGAGGCCTCTGGATGATCCAGCCGTCCAATTTCAGACACTTATATCACATGAAAAACAAGACACGCTTGCTTTCAGGTGGATGAGCACGCACACCATCAAGGTTGCTCCAACAACCTCACTATCTTTCTCTCACACACACACACACACACAAACACCAAGCTCCTCCCAACCTCTATCTCTGCCCTTCATTCAGGTTTTATCCTCCCCCTCCTCTCATCTCTCATATCTTCCGCCCTTCCGGTTGTCCAAACTCAATGACACAGCAGAGAGTAGTGGGGACTGATTAGAAAGCTGCATGCTAACTATGCAGGCAAATGTTTGGAATCTGAAAACAGGCTTATCAATCCAAGTTTAAATCTATTTCTTACATTTAACATTTTTGATAGGATGTGAAATCTCTTTTTTTAAGTTAAGGGTGCAGTTTGGGGTTTGGTAAGCTTTGATTTGTTATATATATATATATATTAAAATGTGCTTGTTTATTACACTTATAAATTAAAAAAATAGTTTTTATTTCTGTCATTAAATACATAAACACAAAAAGTTAAGTGTGTATAAGAAGTGTTTTCACAAGTATTCCTGTTCCTCCGGTCTGCTTGCATCTGTCGTGTGTTCGGGTAAAAGGTCTGTCCTAACCAAGCTCAACCCTGTCCGAAGGGCAAAAAAGAAAAGAAAAAGACAGAATATAAAAGAAAAAGTGGGGAGCAGCGGCCTAGTGGTTAGGGCTTGAAATCCAGAGGTTGTGAGTTGAAAACCCACTACCAAAGACTGTCATTCTGGATCAACGGACACTGCTCCCGGGGTGCCGCAAATGGCAGCCCACTGCTCCCCAAGGGGAAGGGTTAAATGCAGAGAGTGAAAGATGCAAGCTGAAAAGCAAGGAAAATATAAAAAAGGACTAAGAAATTAAGAAAGAGACATAAAATTCAGAACAAAGATGAATAAAAAAAGGTTTTGAGATTGTTTCTCTTTAGCAGCGTTCTGTCATCACTTCAACCTCCAACTAATAGAAAACTCTGTAGTCCATGGGTAACTAACAGAACAGTTAGCCTTAGGGTTGGCATTAGCAAGATCTATTCTGAATTAAATAGCTAAACGTGCCAAATTTTAGGTAGTTGCCTATTAATAAAATACATTAAAATCAAAGGTAAAAGATCTACAGATATGCTAGTTTACTTTGGGCAAACGTCTGGAGGCGAGTTCACATTCATAAATGTGCAACTTCAGAAGATGGAGAATTTTATTTCAGTTCCTACATCACTCTACTCCATCTTTATACAATTGTCATTTCGAAAGATAAATCAGAATCAGCTAAAACTCTTATAGCAGTAAGGAGCTTCAGAAATATTAGAAATTACCCATAAATTTAGGATCTGTTAGTCTCTTCTCACCAGCAAACCTAGACCTGCTGTTGGCGTTCACCATATCTGTTCTAAAAGAGATGTCTCATAAATTCCACTCTTTACTTCTTTGTTATATTGAAAAAATAAATCTATTCTAATGTGCAAAAATGCTTTTATGCCTTCATGCTTTTGTGCCTTCAGGTAAGGATTTCAAGGCATGTTACTGCTCAGTAATGTGGGGAGGCCCTGAACTTTTCTGGACTTTTCTAATATTTTATTTCTACCTCTCTTTGAATATTGTTCTTAAAAATAAATTAAAGATTGCTTTAACCTTTACTAGTAAGTTCAACATTTACGCTATCTGGATTCTGGAATACACCCATGAAATGATGGGGATCTCGCACACTGCTAGTCTTGCAATTAGCATGTTCAACTTAAAGATATGGCCAAGAAAAGTTAGGCTTCAGAGCTCTACTGTTTATATAATATACATCAAATACAAATAGTGATACCCTGATGTATAAAAATGCAATCGTGATTTAGGTAAGGCTCTGCAGCCACGTAATCATGTTGCATGAGCTCTGAATATTACTACCAAAGCCTATAATAAAGTCGTTCTCACGATGTCCGCTTCCCAGGGTGCTGTAAAACTATCTGATGCCATAGCAGTGGGAGTCTGAGATCGGTACAATCACCAGTTATTCTAGATAGTTAAAAAGTGAAGGTCATATTCTCAAGTTCTGGCTTCTCAGACGAACAGAAACAAGTGTCAGCCGAGATGCCGATCAGCCTTTCGAGCGCAGCCTTAAAAATACTCATTTCTATACGTTTCTATTGAAGCGTACGGCTATTGTCTGAAGAACAAGTGTTTGCTGACAAGTCCATTAAACTTTTCTGTGAGATTATGAAAGGTGGCATTCACATTTTTCCCCCGCTGTCTCTTCACATCTCCCTCTTTGGGTTTTTTTTTCACTCTGGCTCTCCGGCCATCTCTTTCTAAACAGGCCAGCAGACAAAGTGTTCAGTCAAGCCTTCTAATCGCCTGCTCACATGGGTGAGCGGAGTCCCAACTTTATTCTCCCGTCTGCCACAACCGTGCTGCATTTTTCATCTTATCCACTTTTTGGTCGACACTCTAATGCATCCACTCATTTTTTTTGTTTTGTTTTTTTTTTGTAAAAAAAAAAAAAAAAAGCTGGACGGGAGGTTTGGGATGAAATCAGGTTTCCTTTTTGGTAACCTAGTTTCAGGTATGCAGAGTTGGTGAGGCGAGGATAGGGAGGTATAAAAACAGGGAATCCCTGGCTTTGGCAGAACTGGCTATACGATCAAAGGATCTGAAATGCTAATTGTAGCATGGTCTGTTAATACCAGTTTTAAACACGTCTGGGATGTTGATAAGTTCTGCTTCTAGCCTTGGTCAGAAAAGGACTGTTTTTGGCTTAGGGGGCTTACAACACCTCAACCTCAGGATTCAGATGTGTTTCTCAAACAAACATGCCTGGTGCAGCGTTTCTTTGGCCTGGAAAAATTCACCAACAGGGGCCCAGATTTGTTCAGTTAGAAAACCTGCATAAACAGACAACTCCAACTCCTAAGGTTTTGGTTAAAAACGCCCGAAAGGTCGACATGACTTTGCTTTAGAAGTAATGCTGCAAAATAAATAAACCCCAGAGCGTATCAAAGAGTAGCGTAAAATGCATAGTGCATTCAGTGTTTTTCCTGCAAGGCGGAGCCAAGGGATAAAAAAATAAACAGGACAGTGGGCTCTGTAACATCTAAACCTGCACCTTGTAGCCAGGCTCAGATAATAAACAAGAAATACCTCCTGCTCAGCGGGAATGCACTGTGGGATTGCTGCTATCCATGATACAGCTCTGGTCTCACGTGTCCAAATAGTCCAAATATTCCTTCGTCCTGCGGAGGGAGTGTTGTCTTAGATATGAGTGTGTGTAATCACCGAGGAGAACTGATTCAGCACACAGCCGCAAACTGCCATTTTAGAAAAGCTCATCCATGTCAGCACGGCCTACCTGAATGGGGGAGATGGTCACACGTGGAATCTGTATCCACGACTAATAATTAAGGCGTTTAAATTTTAACCAGCACCTGAAATGTGGTAATAGCGCAGGCATGAGTCAGAGGCCAACGGAGTGGGGGGAGAGAAAGAGAGAGCTAGAAAAAGCCCAGCCAGACACAAGACAGAAGGAGTTTCACGCTGTTAATTTCTTCCAACCCATTAGGCCAACAACCTAAAGCGGTGCTCATTTTCAGACTGTCCTGCTCACCGACAGCAGCACAAGCACACACTTAATGTTTGTGACAACTGGATCAGCGCCTATGAGCCCCACTGTCTGTCTGTATTTCCACAAATGTATGCAAGCTCGCCTCCCTCTGCAGCCATGACGATGACACTGTCACACTTTCATGCGGGTGCACGCGCATCTTTCCATTCATGCAAATGCACACTTCTCACTTTTCCTTTTTTTCATTCTCTCTCTCTGTTTTGGGAGGGTGGGCAAAAACACACTGGATTACAGCGGGACAATAGGCGAAGGCAGGTCACCACAGCAACAAGCAGAGAGGGGCAGGAGCAGGGGCTCTTTATGTGGAACGGGATGGTGTCTGAAGTACTGATTTTGGGGAAGAAGGCGGGGGAGGATATTCCAGCAGTTGCGTTTGATAAGTTAATAAAACTCAACACAACTCCAAATGTAAGGCATTATGGATAGCTTTCATGTATTTTTGTCCCATTAGTGAGTAATGTTTTTTCCCCTTTAACAATCACTTGTGCTCCATCTCAGCACCCCTCCCTTTTCTCTGCCCTTCAACCTTCCCCGAGATCCCCTCCCTCTGTCTCCATGGGGGGGCAACTCCTTCCCTTTCAATCCCCATGCCATCTCCCTCTTCTATTCACCGCCCGCTCTCTTGCTCCTTCCACCCTCTCCCCCGGCCACTCATCTATCTCCACAGCATGGGCTGCTTTTTCTTTTCTTTTTACCAAATTTCATTCAAAGCAGCCACAGAAGGACAAACTCAGAGGCTGAACAAAAACCCAGCTATTTGATTGGAAATGAGCAAATAAAAAGTAAACAAATGGGAGAAAGGAAGGCATAGAGTTAGGAAAGTGAAGAGATTAGCAAAGCTACTAATGAATGCAGAGTCACTTTTAATGTCACCTCGCTTGTATCAGTTTTTCTTTTTACTTTTTAAAAGAAGAACAACCATTTAGAGGAGAAATAGCTGTTAGTAGCTGGAAATATTGCATTGGGATTCCTGCCCAGTGGCCCTTTCCATCTGTAGGGAGAACCTTCACATCTGAAATGCACACAGAAAACCTGCAGTCTACCTCAGGGAAATTCATTAAACAACAGCTAAAAACTGACACACTTATTCAAACATCGACCCTGAGACTTCAAGACATCGTGCAAAAAAAAAACAACTAGAGCCTAGAAACAAAACTAGAAAGCAGAAAAAGGCAGCCAAATAGATTAGAAATAAAATAAAATGTACCATGAACCTATATATTCAAACCACAAATATCTTTATTTTCAATGTTTATAATAAATATGGTTGAGTTCTAAACCTTATTTGTGAATCATATATGGTTGGCCTAATAAACAAATTAAAAACAGGCATAAAAGACTGAAAATAAACATAAAAAAAAATAAAAACAGTAGACATGAATGGCCATACAACATAGAGTATTCAGTGTAAAGATGGAGGCAATCCATTCCACAATCTGGGGGCCACACTTCTAGAGTATTTTAAAGATTTTAAAATTTGTTTTTTGGAAAGATTAAGACAGACTGGGGCCTAAAGAGCTAAGGACTGAATTTCTAAATATAAAGTCTTAAATGTAAAGAGATTAAAACAACCCTCTTTTTCATGTCTGGAATTTGCTAATTAGCAGAATATAATGTCAACTTGTGCTTCACAGAACACAAATCCCCTTTCCTTACATGTGAAGAAACTTTAATCACCACTAGCAACTGCAAAGTTCAGCCAAAACGCATGAATTTAAAGGGAAAGATTAACAGATTTTATGTCTCACTATCACTGCTAGGAGTTTTTCTTTTCTCTTGTTTTATCATAATTTTATAAGATAATTTCATTTCATTTCACAAAGGGACTTTGAATCAACAGATCATGTCATAAATATATCCAATGATTTCTATTAAATTAGTTATATAACTTTTAGGCTTAAAAAAAGAAAAAAAAGAAAATGAGACTCTAGGCTTCATTTTGGTCCCAATCATGGCAACCTTCTCTGCATACTCAGCCATTGCATGCAAGTTTATGCAAATCTTCGTTACTTAGCCCCGTCAACGTCATTGGGCTTTGGAAAAGTCATAAGTCATTGACTGCTGGTTTATTTTGTTTACAGCCTGTTTTGTTTTTTTTATGCAGAGGCTACAGAGACTTTTTAGAAAAGAGTTAAAGAGCTGAGAAAATGTGATAAGGTGAGTTTATTGGAATGAAAATAGGAGTCATATCTAGTGCCATTCAGATGTTTGACAGCAATAGAAACTCACCTTCCCAAACTGATCGAAGTATTGCTTTACATCCTCGATGGTTGTGTTGACCGAAAGCCCTCCAACAAAGATCTTCTTTGTTCGGGTGACAAGCTGGAAACACAATCGGAATGACAAAATGACTTTTATGAGATGCAGAGACTTTCTTTGAAAGGACGTTAATTTAGTAAAGTAAGGTTTATATTTAAACACTATTTTAATAGTTTAATGTGTTCTTAGATGTTCAACAGATGAGAAATGTCCGAAATGTATTTATAAGGGAACCAGTTAGTTAAACATGTCTCTGTCATTTCAGGAGGTCAGGGAGTCATGGTGTCAGGTATTTTTCTGGTTATGTGCCTGACTTTTATCCCAGCCAACCAGGGTTTAGGGATATATTACATCATCATCAAGCTGTTTATTATTCTGGGGTGGGGTGCGATGGGAGGAGACTCACCTTAGGCTGAGCCCTGCGAGGAAAGGCCACCTTTGGGTCGATCTGCAGGGGAGAGATTTAAGCCCGGTTATAAAAGCTGGGAGAGAATACATAAAATTAAAGATTGATGGATTATTTTAAAACACAAAGAATTTAAAGGGAAACCCCTCCTGGGTTTGCTGTTTTTATGGGCCGTTTCATTTATGTTGAAGATTAATTACATCCTTTAGAGATCCACCTCACACTGAGCTCAGGCAACTTCACAACAAATGAAAAGGATTTAATGAGCTGCATTAAAAAATTAAATATTGAAATAAGGGGAAAATAATAATTTATGTAACCAAACATATCAGACCTCATGTGAAAAGATACTCTGATGATTATCTAATATTTTCTGAAAACTAAAAGTAGAATTTCACAACTTGAACGCTGGTCTTATCTGCTGCCAGAACTATACAATAAAACAAGACCTATCTAACAACATGAAGTAGGCTAAAAGATTAAAGTAACTCCTCACATCCCACGCTAAAAAAAAAGGTTAAAGAACAAAGTCAGTGTAAAGTGAACCTCACCTGGAGTCTGCTCAGATCACAAAAAACTCCTAAACTTCATTCATCGCTAGTATTATCTGTCCCAGATAAGTTTTCAAAACAAAGTAACCAACTAGTCTGTCGCTTATATACCAGAAAAAAAAAAGACAGTCTCTAAGCATTAGGGGGCGGTATTTTAGAAATGCAGCATCTTGGTAACATCTTAACGCTCTCAGGCTCAAATTAAGTTGTAGTTGCAGGAACAATCTGATATTTGGAGATAATGATCATGAGAGGTAGTAATACACAATTCAGACTTTTTTTTTGAGAGAGACCTTCACATGCAATAAATTCTGGGATGTTGCAGATTTGCAACAGTGGCATGGAGTGGTAAATTAAAGCGATAGTTCGGTATTTTTGACATGAATCTCTATGGCATCCCCATCACCAGCGGCATGCAATCACACTGACTTACCCCTGGCAGCGTCCTGTGAGCAGAGTTATCGTCCAGTTTTGGTCAAGCCAAAAGTAGTCCGGCAGGTTTTTAGGAACAGCGAAATAAAACTTTTCTCTTCCCAAAACATTATGTGTTCAAAAGAGCGATATTTTTGCATCCCAAAAAGATTGTAGTGGGAAAAAGTCACACGTTGTTATCAATTGGTCCTATTTTCTCTCTGTTCGTATCAGTGCGCGCCGTCATTCAGACAGCGAGCCCAACAACAGCCATGTCTCCCTCCGCGGCGGAAGGAGACATGGCTGTTGTTGGGCTCGCTGTCTGAATGACGGCGCGCACTGATACGAACAGAGAGAAAATAGGACCAATTGATAACAACGTGTGACTTTTTCCCACTACAATCTTTTTGGGATGCAAAAATATCGCTCTTTTGAACACATAATGTTTTGGGAAGAGAAAAGTTTTATTTCGCTGTTCCTAAAAACCTGCCGGACTACTTTTGGCTTGACCAAAACTGGACGATAACTCTGCTCACAGGACGCTGCCAGGGGTAAGTCAGTGTGATTGCATGCCGCTGGTGATGGGGATGCCATAGAGATTCATGTCAAAAATACCGAACTATCCCTTTAACACTGAAGACTGAATCTGATATGAATGTTAACTTAATTTGAATGTCACAAACAAAAAATTAAGAAAACAAAATTCGAAAAAAAAGTTCTCTCACAAAATTAGAGACAACTTTTTCTCAAACTTTTTCTCCACCAACATCTCAAAACCTCTCGAGAAGGCCGTTTCTGTTAAAATGTTGCTCAAAATATTGGCAAACTAGTAGCTAAAGCATGTAGCATCCATTTGTACCTGTTTGGGCACAGGTTGTGAATCCACAACATTGAAATCTAGATGCCTCTGGTGAAAAACCCAGAGGAGATCAAATCTACTAATTGCCATGTGTCATATCTATACACATTCATGATTCATCTTATGTAATATTGATTTCAAAATAATAGAAATTGGTAGTGATACTTAATTGGTGCTTAGAAAATCTGTTTCAGTGACACCAAGGACTCAGCCATGTTGAAAGTGAGTCAGCAGTGCTATCTGGTGAGCTGGAGAGAAACTGTTTGTTGCAAATGCACAACTAAGTCCTTCTGTTGTACTTCTGAGTAACAAAAGCTCTTAAAATATGGATGTGGAGTAATTAGCTAAGTAGGATTTAGCTGTTGCAAATCTGCAACATTTGCCTGGAGAGGGTTAATATTTTGGAGGTCTGGGGTAGGTTGGATGCTCAACAATCTAGACAACCTGTCATAATTGATGAAACCATTATTTCTGCTCATGACCAGAAAATGCTAAAGGAGAATAATTAAGCCTTCCTTCAATTCATGACCTTAATCTGAAACACTCTGGTTGTGCAGCAGGACAGAGTCCTAATGCCTAAAAGGAAATATAATGCTGTAGTGGCCTAGTCAAAGTCCTTGCCTTTCTTCCAACTAAGATTCATTGACATGACCTTAAGCAGGCTGAATTAAAAGGGAAAGAAATGTAGAAAATTTAAGAATGAAAACAATTGTGTGGACAAGAGTGGACCAAATTCCTCCAGAGCCGTGTGATAAAACAAACTGCTTCTTCTGTCGTCTGTTAAACGTCGGCTGTTGTTTCTCAGCGTGGCCCAAATCATCGCTATATTTAGCTATATTTATTCCTCACAGCATCAAGTTGTTTTGGATATCCCTTAGCTCTCCTGTTCATACAGGTCATCTTTCATATCAACATTTGTTTCATATCTAAAAAGGGTCAAAGAGGCAAAAACAGAAGAAATCCTTACAGAGGCGAATAAATCTTCAAAGCATAGCAAAGCATCAACAACATAACACAAGAAATGCAAACTATAATGTAGCATACTGTTTGAGCTTAGACTCAGACCACTATCCAAACCTCAATTCACAAAGTTCCCAACTCTTTCTGCTCTATATTCTGGTCAGGAGCAAAGAACTCTTGCTGTGGTAACTATAACCCAAATTAGTCAAAACAAACAAGCTTTTAAATCTGACTACTTGGAGAGCTAAACTCCAGAAATAGAACGTATGCTAATCTGTGAATATGTATAGTAAACCCTTGTTTATGCAAGCCCCCACAAATCCAAACCCAGCAGCCAAACAAACAGTCAACGGGAACAAATTAGTCAGTGAGACGACAATTCATACTCTCTGAATTTTCTCCTGGACCCGTCCAGCCACAAAACTAGACAAAGCGGAGCGGTCTAAAAATCTAAAATGAGCATTTAATATTCTGACTGCATTTAAGATGGATGTGTTTGGGTTTTTTTGTTTTTTTTTTTCCTCTAAGTCTCACAAATCCTGACAACCACCATTTTGGATTAGTCAGATTTGACTGTATCAAGAGTTCCCAGCCCCCCCAAATGGAATGCCTCAGCAGTGGTCAAGGTTGCGGATAAAATTAGAAATAAATGAGCTTTGAATGAGCTGGCATTTTGATAATGTTAAATATGCAAAGCCCAGCCTGGTATTTTATATATTTGCATGGAATTGTGTGTTATTCTCACTCAGGCCAGCTGAGAGAGATGATTTTAGGTCACAGGACCCTGTAGTGTATTATAGTCTTAGGCTTTCCATCTATGTTGCAATAATTGGATCTGTAAAGCAAAGCCTCTTGTGTCTCGCACGGTCGCTATTAGGTGTATTGAATTGCAACTGGCAACGATAGAGAGTCTGTCAAATAGCCAAAAATAATTAAATATAAAGCGGACAATATACGCATTATTAAATAGGTTCCTCATTCAGTGTTTTTAAAAAGAACCTTTCATCTCTTTACAGTGATAATTGCCCGCTTCTGATGGCAAATACATCCTTTGAGGGCCTTTAAGTGCCTCAGATTTCCACCACTCTGAGAGCACAGTGCTGTGTAACTAAGATGCAGCTGCAGCGCCCTTGAAAGGGATTGCAGAAGGACTCTGCACCTTGAAGTGGGACGCAAAGATGAGAGGAGTCATGTCACCTCCAGCTGGTCTGAGCACAAAGAGGAAGGTGACAGGGACTTGCGAGGCCGACGGCGACAAACGGCAGCACAACACAGCGAGGTCACGCAAAAAAGGGCAACAAAGCAGTTTTTATAGTATCTGTGATTAATGTAACATCATAGATCTGTGTGATAAGGAGATTGAAATTAATACCACTTTCTGTCCTTAAACAGGATACTTAATCAGTACAGTACGCAGCACAGAGCAATACAGACAGCTTTTTCCTTTTAAACAAAAAAAAAAGGTTACCAGAATGGAACAAATGTGAAAAGACAACCATGCTTCTATATATTTTTTTTTGGTGCAAAGTCGGGGGGAATGTTCTTGGCTTTTCTGGCTGACCTGGAAGTGACTTCTAAGCCGCTGGTGTTGAAAACAGCCCACCTGCTTTTAAACGGTCAGACATGACCAGAAGAGTGAAGCCGCCTGAGGCCATTAAGAGGCAGAGACACTGACACACCGCAAGCTGGCAGCGATCAGGCGCTGAATCACATTTGACACAAAACTGAAGTCACAAAAACTTGCTTAAATAAATAAATAAACAAGAACAGGGGCGAATGATGCTCGTTTTGCATCATCTTGTGATTTCTTGTAATCATGTCTGCGTTTGTCAAATGCCTGGATCAGCTTTGAAACCAAATTTGTTTTACTGATTGAAATCATATGCAGCAAATGTTACAACACATTCAACCAGGTTTTATTTGAAAGGGGGAAAAAACAACATAAAAATTCCTGGTTATTAAACACATCAGGGCTTAAAACTAGTTTTTTGTTGCTGAATGCATCCATATTAGCAAACAACACATTGTTTCAATGGCTCACAACGCTTTGGAAACCATTGTTTTTTTCTAAGTCATTACTACAAGAAAAAGGTCCTGCAGTATTTTTAATATCTATCCCAAATCTTTATATATCTATAAAAATTAGGCCGTTTGGAAACTCAAAGCTTGTTACTAAAGGTTTTTCATCCAATTTTCTTTTTTTCCCGAAACATGAACAGAAAATTGAATGTGGGGCAGAACAAGAATATAATATTTATTTA